ACCCGCCAAATTCTTGACAACACAAAAACAATTCATCAAAACACTAACACAATACAATTAAAAATTGCAGAAGCTGTCCTAATAGATATCAATAGACCCCAAATAAACATACAACAAAGAATGATAACATCATTACCAACTTGACGTCTTAATACTAATTTCAATAATAATGAAGAACAAAGAATGACAACAACAAAGATAAAGAATACGACATCAACTAATAAACTTTTCTAAAAAATTTTGTTTTGTTTAAAGATACTATATAAACCAAACCTGGACTGAAGATGATTTATGAAAAATCGAAATAAGGCCTTATCTGCATTATGAATTTGGATAGCAATAATAATATTAATAATAAAAATAATAATATTAAAAATAATAATAACAAAGTTTAAAGTGGTTCAGTAGACAAACATCTGTGTAAGAACCACTACAATATAAATGTTCTAGTATCCTAACTTTCATAACTTGATTTTAAAATTGTTGATTGAATCCACTGCGACAAATTTATTGCTGAGCTCGTTCCAGGCGTTTAACACCTTGCTGCTGAAAAATTTTTGCTTTATTGAATTTTCTGTTGAAGAGCTTGTATCTATGATTTCTTAATTTTTTCCTTTTTTTTAAATGAAAGGACCTGGTGAACGGTGCTTCTTCTTTTCCAGTTATTAACTTATATGTCACAATCAGATCTTTTCTGTATCTTTTCCATTCTAGTGTTGTCCGCATTTTTTCAGTCTTTCTCTATATTCAAGTTTTCCAATTCATTCAATCATCTTTGTTGCTCTAAGCTGTACCCGTTCAAGAATGTTTTTGTCCTTTTGTAGATTTAGACTCCAAACCTGTGAACAGTAATCAAAATGAGGGCGAACTAATGTTTTATACAAGTTTATAATAATCGACTTCTCTCTGCATACCACCGTTCTTCTAATACATCCAAGTATTTGATTTGTACATTGTTTTGATGTTTTCGTGTTTTTATAAATAGTGATTTCGAGGTTCTTTGCTTCATTTGTAGATCGAAGGTCATTTCTGCCAAGTAGATATTGAAAACCTTTGTTCTTTCTTCTCATGTAGATAACTTTACATTTGTCTATGTTAAATAGCATTTGCCAATCTTCAGACCATTTGTATAGTCTTGTCAAATCTTGTCTTAGTACTTTCGCATCTTCCTCGTTTTGGACCCTTGTAAACAGCTTCGTGTTGTCCGCAAATTTTAATATCTTTGACATTATGCCAGAGTCGATATCATTAATATAGACAACAAATAGTAGAGGGTTATGGTTACTAGAGGGCCCAGCACCAGACCTTGAAGAACTCCACTTGTGACGCTAATCCAATTTGAATTTTTACCTTTAATCCGCACTTGTTGGCTTCGGTTATTCAGCCAGTTAGTAATCCATTGAAGCAAATTTCCAGATATTCCACATGCCTGTAGTTTTTTAATAAGTCGTTTGTGTGGCACTTTATCAAATATTTTGCAAAGTCCAAATAAATTATGTCTACAGAGTTCTCACTATCCACATTGTCGTATACTTTCTCAAAGGAATCCAAAAGATTGGACAAACAATAACATGCTGGCTGTTTTTCTATTATTTTGTAGCTTGTAATTAAACTACGTTGTTTATCTCTATTTTTCTGATACTTTGCATAATATACATGTTAAGCTGACTGATCTGCAGTTACTGTTGCCGCACCTGCTCCTTTTCTTGAATATTGGTGTGACAATGGCATCTTTCCAGTCTCTTGGTATTTTACCTTTTTGGATTGATTCTATAAATATTTTAGTTAGTGCTGTTCCAATTTCATTTCTCATTTTTTTTAAATTTGGGGTGTAGTTCGTCTATTCCAGGAGTTTTATCTTCCTTCAGAAATTTGAGCATCTTTACTATTATATCTTCAGCAATATCCACACTGAGTATCTGTTTTTGGTTTTTCTTCAACAGTATTATTGGGTCTGAGATGCATTCCGTGTTTTCTTCCTCCAGTACAGATCCAAAGTTTTTATTGAGTATTTCCGCAGTTTCGATGTCATTTGTGACGATATCGCCTTGGTCGTTCTTTAGCGGTCCAACCATCGTGTTTTTTTTGCTTGCTTTTCATGTAGCTCTTAAAGCTTTTGCTATCTCTTTATATGTTCTAAGTTTAACTTTGTATTCTTTAATAGCTTTCTTGTTTGTTTTGTTTGCCACGTTTCTTTTTTCTACATTTTTTTTCTTAGCTTCGTTTATTAGATTTTCAGCGTTTTTTCTAGTAAAGTAAGATTTTTTCACGTGTATTTTGTAGTTTTTTCAGGCTTTGTTTTTATCCCTTCTGGCTTTTTTTTTACTTCTTTATTTAACCAAAAACACTTTTTGCTATTTCTTTTGTGGATTGGCATTTCTTTTTCCACAACCTCTCATACATGACAAAAACTGTATATATTTTTTCTGTACATTAAGGCCTGCCAGTCTATCTTTTAAATTTATTTTTTTGATTTACCTCCTGATTTTTGTCATAGTTTGCTTTGTAATAGTTGTATCGTTTTCTTTGTGATATTGTTTTGGTTTCATGTTTAACAACTGCTTCAAACCTTATTATCTGATGATCACTGGAGACAAATTTTTCCGACCTGTACAGGTACACCTTCAATCATTCTTCCTCTGTAGAGATGACTAAGTCAAGGACATTATTCTCCCTTGTTGGCTAAAGGACATGTTGTGTGAGAAAGTTTTCATCTATGCATTTCAGAAATAGAGTGTCTGAAAGTGTTTTGCCACGCCTTTTTCCCAATCTGTATGATAGTTGAAATCTCTTAATACAATGCATGATCCTTTTGTAGCTCCTCCGGTTGATTCGTGGAGTCCTTTGTCGTTTTCTTCTTTACCAGAATCTGGAGTTCGATAGTAAATTCCAACTACCAGGATCTCGTTTTTCTTTCTGGCTTGAGTGATTTAATTGACTTATGTTAGATCATTGAAGTATTAGAGTGAATAAATTTAGTTCTAATTACATATATTTATTAATAATCTATCTTTTATTTTGCATAATATTTAATATTTGCCTATATTTTGGTTTACTTCTTTGAGATAATATCATTCTCGAAACAAATTTTTGTAACTTTCTAGTAACTTTAGTAGTGTTTTTTTCCAACGAGTTAAATTTAGACACATATTTTTAATTTTAAGACTTGTTTATTTTTCTTCTTTGCTAGGTTCGAATAAAATTGTATTTTATTAAAATAAATTTCCAATGTGGGGAGTTGCAAGTGGTCACCCTTTTGCTCAGAAGCACGCAAGGCTGCGTGGATGCAGTTTAATATCATTGGGACTTTTGTTTGTGTATATCTAAATTTTAAACTTCAATAAATGAATCTGACAAATTGGTTCGTTATAAAGCTATATCATTAATTTTTTTCCGTTTTCTTATTAAACAATTCATCTTTATTATCTCTATCTTCTGTTTTCTACATTTTTTCATCAATCTGATGTTCAATTTTTTCTTCTACACATTTTTCAACATTTATTAGTCTGGGACATAGTTCAACAGAAAATGTTGATGGCACAGGTAACACAACCTCGCCATTTACTAACAAATATTTTTTAAATGCATTTTTCTGACTTCCTGTTTTTTCATTATTTTTTTCCTCTTTTTTGCTTCTCTTTGATATCCTTTCATTTTGCGCTATAAAAAATATATTCTAATTATTTGTTAAAAAGTTTATTTAAATATTATTTGCCAAATAAAATTATATGTTCAAAAAGTTTTGCTTAAACTTAAATTACATCATTTATATTTTGCCAAATACTAAATGTAAATTTTTCCACTAAATATAATTACGTTCTATTAGCAGTAGCATTTATCTACCAAGTTTGAATTTCAAAAACGTTGACACAGTTCATTTTAATAATATATAATTAATTATAAAAGCCATTTGTCAAATTAAAATGAATTAATTTGAATATTTTCACTACGCTGTCAAAAAAATGTCTACAGATATACAGCCAATATAAATGACTAATTTCAAAATTTCAGTTTTTTTGCATAATCGATAAATATCATATTTATGTCAATCGTCATGTTTTAGATACAACAACTTAGTTGTAAACAATTTTAAATTTAAAAAACGAACTTTTTATTATAACATTAAAATAATTTAAGGTTTAATTTCAGAAATTTATCTAAAAAAGTATAAGAAAAAAATATGGGCAACAAAATAAAGTTTTGATTATTTGATTACAACTTCTTAAAAAGAAAAACACGCGCGTTCAACAACAAAATAGCTATATTAAATATTAAAAGTAGGGATGTCCGAAGAAGTGTTACTGTAGCTAACGCATCACATATTGCTTCCAAACATATTAGATATTACAGTAAATAGTTTACTGCTAATCTTGAAAACACTTATTAATGTCGAATTTAGCAAATAAATTGAATTTTTATAATTTGTATAATATTTTAAATTCATTTTAATTATTTTTATAAATTAATATTTTTAGATGGGGCCCCTTGGCAAATAAAACAAATAGTTTGAAAAAATGATTTTTTAAAATTCCATTTTATTGGAAAATTCATTAAAATAATTTTTTAAAAGAAAAATTTTTAACACGGGGCTTAGTCTGCCCTTGGGCAAAACAGATGTTTTAAGATTTCTATGGTTACAAAATGGGGTACCAATGTTTTGACCTATTTTGATCTTGACCTATACTATAAAATTGAAAGCGTGGAAAAATTAGCACAGAATTTTAAAATAGGGCTAAAATAAAATTTACGGCTTTAAATAGATCTAAACGAAAAGATGCATCAAAACGTATTATTTTGTAGATGGATTAACATTAACCTTGATTTGCTAACCATTTGCGTTGATACGTCTCCTTACCCTGGGTTACAAATCTTGCCTGGTACAAACGTAATGTTGGTGATAGTCAAGATAGATATTATATTTTTATTTATTTGTTTGTTTTCAACAAATATTTTTGTTTTTTTAATGGTAAATTGTGCACTTTTAAAAAATAATCAAACAGTTATTGAGCGAATACAAAAAAGACAAATGGATAAAGAAACTTAGGAATTTATATGATTGGTATTTCTTGGTCACATTGAATCCTGATGGTTATATCTACTCTTGGGAAGAGGTTGTTCACAATTTTAATATTTCCAAATAATTTTACATTTTATTTATAAAAAACTTTAAAAATTTTTTTGAAATTTCGACAAATTTTAAAGTTTTTTAAATACCATGAGTTATATATATATACCTCGATTTGAGTTTCTTGGTTACAATAATTAAGTCTGGCCTATGACGTATATATAACGGAAAATAATATAATGATATTTGGTGTTAAGGAATTTGATTCATTTGTTAAAGAAAAAATGGTATTTCAAATATGTTTAAAAAACTTTCAAATAACATGATTGAACATCTTGATGACATAAAAATGAGGCAGGTAGGTACAAAAGGGGAGTCATCGCGACCTCTTTTGATCTTTTTTCGTAATGCTGATGAAAAATCTATTATTATGAAAAATTTATTCAAACTAAAAACATTAGATTCTGACCTAAGTAAAATAACAACAAGGCAAAATATGATTGCTGAAGCAAAAATGCGTGAGGCAAATGACACTGAAAATTTTTTATACCGTGTGAGGGGGGAGCTGGAAAATTGGAGAATAATTCGTTTTTAAAAAACCCAACCTAAAATTTAGTTGTTGTAAATATTCTAGGTGTAATTTAAATTGCTAAAAAAAGTAAAACTTGGATTATTGAACATTAGGTCAATAAATTCTAAATCTAATAAAGTTTATCAAATATTGATGGGGGGTTGGATATTTTTGTTATTGTCAAGACGTGGTATGGTACTTCTGATAACATTTCTGTGAAAATGGCGATGCCACCTGGGTTTTTGTTTGTTGACTTTTTGAGAAAAGATGACTCTCACCATGGTGGATTAATAATTTTTTTCCGTAAAATGTTCAGATATAAAAGACTGGACTTACCAGTGTTTATTTCTTTTGAGGCTATTGCTATCATATTAATAATTAATAAAATTAATTTGGTTTTATATGCATTATATTGACCTGGATCCTAGGCGCTGTCCTCATTGTTTTTTCATAACTCCTTTGGGTGACCACACAATTATACTTGGTGATTTCAATGTTCATATTGAAAAATCAGATGATATACATGTTTGTCGTTTAAATAATTTGTTTGATGCATTTTCGATGATATTATAGGCGAATCGACTCATGTTATGGCTCAAAATGGAATAAAAATTAATCAGGATAAAACTCAGGTGTTAAGAATAGGGCTGCTAAAATTATTGTTGGTGGGAAATGGTTTGATCACATGAACCCAGTACTTTGGAATTTGCATTGGCTGCCTGTTCATAAAAGAATATGGTTTAAAATTAGGGATGCACCGAAGTTCGGCCCCGGCCCCGGCTCCGGCCAAAATCCGGCTTTTTTATCAAATCCGGCCCCGGCCGGATTTATGGCCGGATTTAAGCGTCTATCGACATTTAAAAATGTTATAAATAGAAAAAAAAACACATTGAATTCAAATAATTTTATGTCAAAAAGTTAAAAGCTAAGCATACTTGACACATAATAACAACATCACTAATTGTGAAATGAGCTGGACAATTTTCTTTGTGCTATAACATGGGTTATGCATAAATTATGAGCTGATCTTTGTGTAAGAGAACTTGTGCACGTGTTTATACTATATAATTATATATGACGGATCATATAGCTACATAATATATATATACATAAAGATACATAAGCGCGTAATTTAAGAACATGGTATGTTAAAGGTTAGGCTAGGCATACATGGGACATAATAACAACATCACCAATTGTGAGGTGAGCTGGACAATTTTCTTTGAGCTATAACATGGGTTATGCATACATTATTAGCTGATTTTTGTGTAAAAGAATTTGGGCACGTGTATACATGACACATAATAACAACATCACTAATTATGAGATGAGCTGGACAATTTTCTTTACGCTATAACATGGGTTTGCATAAATTATAAGCTGGTCTTTGTGTACAGAATTTGGCGTATCACACAGCTTATTCATATATTTGAATTAATTAACTATTTGCTTGGTGTTATTTTTTGATGTTCAATATGTAGATAACCGTAAATGTGAGTATTTTTTCTAACGTATGTAAAATGGTAACTAAAATCCTAACCCGGCTCCGGCCCCGGCCGGTTTTAAATCCGGCCAAGTCCGGCCCCGGCCGGAATGAAAAACCTGAATCCGGTGCATCCCTATTTAAAATATGTGTTTTGATGTATAAAAGCTTGAATGGTTTGGCACCACAATATTTGTCTAATAGGTTTCTGTACAAATCAACTATTGGCCAGAAGATTGTTTTAAGATCAGGTAGTTGTGATTTATTAGTGCAGCTGATAACAGCATTGAAATTGGGGTTACGAAATTTTGTTGTTTGTGGAGTAAAGTGTGAAATGATTTTCCGCTAACTTTGCGCGATCGAAATTTGTCTTTTTCTCATTTCAAAAAGCAGTTAAAGAGATTCATTTTTCAGCAATAGGTTCGAAATACGTGGAGGGCGCCTGTGAGAACCTTTTAATGGGCGCTATATAAATCATCTAATAATATATATATATATATATATTTTTACGATATTCTATAAATTCTATCAAATGTTTGGCGTTCTAGGTTTGTAGTTCGTTTTTTCGATTTTTCTCACTAAAGTTTTATGGTGAACGTTTAGTTTATTAAAATTCAAAATAAACTTCATAAAATAAAATAAATTCATGCTGCAAATAAGGCCCTATTTCGATTCCGAATGAAAGTGGAGTAAAGTGTGAAATGATTTTCCGCTAACTTTGCGCGATCGAAATTTGTCTTTTTCTCATTTCAAAAAGCAGTTAAAGAGATTCATTTTTCAGCAATAGGTTCGAAATACGTGGAGGGCGCCTGTGAGAACCTTTTAATGGGCGCTATATAAATCATCTAATAATAATATATATATATATATTTTTACGATATTCTATAAATTCTATCAAATGTTTGGCGTTCTAGGTTTGTAGTTCGTTTTTTCGATTTTTCTCACTAAAGTTTTATGGTGAACGTTTAGTTTATTAAAATTCAAAATAAACTTCATAAAATAAAATAAATTCATGCTGCAAATAAGGCCTTATTTCGATTCCGAATGAATCGTCATCAGTGCGGTTAAGTTTATATAGGGAAATATTGACTTAGTCAAAGTGAACTTAGATGGAAATTAGGTGTCAGGTTTCTTTATTGGCTGGTCAATCTTCGTTGGTTTCCTTTTCTTCATCGATATATATGTATATTGTATATCGTGAATCAGAAGTGTAGGATGATGTACTTTGTTAACAAAAGATGTTAAGATACTATAAATATTGCTTCCTTTGTTTTTGTTTCGATTTTTTTTAATTCATAATTAAATTTAACTAATTTCCATCTAAGTTCACTTTGACAAAGTCAATATTCATACATTAATGTTTTGATTGTGTAATTGCAGTTTTTGATTGGCATGTAAAAAGATTATTTCGTTTTCTACAGAGTATTCTATCGTAAACTTTAATTACGGTTTATTTACTTTTTACATGAATTATAAATATTTTCCTGTTTTCATATGCGATGTATGGTCATTAACATATCTGCAATATAGTTGCGGCTCAAGTTGTGGCTATGACTTGAAAATGGCCCATCCAGAAATTTGTATATATAGCCCATGTCTAGCAATCCTTTTTTTGTGCAACTTATTGTTCGCAAAATCCAAGATTTTAAAATTTATATATGTTAAATTTTATCATCTCAATACAACTCTTGTGACAAGTTAAATTTAATTATGAATGATATACATGTTGGACGTGTTAAAAAATTAGAATCCCATTATTTTTTTCATTTTTATGATTATAAATTTCTTTTTAAACAATTAAATTTATTGCTTACTTTTAAACTAAACATGTCAAGTTCATTCACTTTGACTTATTTGTTAAAATATAACATAATTTGATATTTAATATTTTTGGGACACCTAATAAATAGTTCGATAAAAAATATTATGCTACGTTGGTGAGTCAAGTTGTTTTCAAGGATTTTTTGTCAACAGCGTAGGCCTAAGGCTCAAAGTTCAAAGAGTTCTTTTATGTAATGCTTTTGCTAATGCAGATGATTAAAATATTAAATTTATTCCATGGGAAGTGAGCATTGATTGAACTGACAAACAGGTGTGAATAATTATTTGATTTTAAATCCTCACAACACATTGTTTAATTAAAAACTTTGACTGGAAGCATCGAGATTAATATTGTTATCGAGACTAAATTTTATTTTTCTTTTTTTTTACAATTAAAATTGAACTATTATAATAGATTTAAAATTGTTCGTTAGTCAAATCCACTCCGTTAACGTCATTAAAAACGGTCTGGCATTGAAAATACGCTAAAACAATGACATTAGTTCAGTTGTTTTAGTCAATTTACTTAGAACCGTTGTTTCACTCTATGTCTTTTATAATGCAATAATAACCTAACAGCTTATAATGGGCTCAAACTAAGAAGTCAATATGCCCATGTCTAAACACATATACCTTATAAGAGAATATATAGAATCAAACAATAGTGTCCATGTTATAATCAAAAATAAAGTTTTTATTAATCATATACTTATCAAGTTTAATTTTAAATTCTACGACAGTAATATAATCAATATATTCTTTTGGCAATAATATTCTTTTGGCAAGTTGTTCCATACTGAAAAGATCCTGCTGGTAAAGAAGAATTTTCTGCTGTTGTTGTTATATTTCTGCACATGTATCTTGAAACGATGTCCTCTGTTTCGAGATTCAACATTGAAACAATTTATGGCGAAGATCTTCTGTCTACACGAACAGTGGCGATGTTGCATAGCGTTATCAAATCTTCCCTTGTTTTTCTATACCTCAAAGTAGGCAGTTCCAAAAACTTCAACCGATCGATGTAGCAAAGTCCTTTGTATTCACGCACCATCTTAGTAGCACGCTTCTGCACTCGCTCCAACTCCTCAATTTCCTTCTTCTTCCATGGTGACTAAAACAGCGGCTGCATACTCAAATTTAGAACTTATTAGACATTTGTAAATTAGTAAAA